TTTGCTTTTTGGATTCCCTCCCCCATCCCACTGGGGCAGGGGGAAGTGAGCGAGCGGCTGGGTGATGCTTAGTTGCCAGCTGTGGCTAAACCACAACAACACGGAGCTTTCTTTATCCTAGAAAAAGATACCTTATAAATATCCTTATAAAAGTGTTTTTTCCTGATCTATGAAAGAACAGAATAAGTTACTTAGATCTCAGTTCCCTGTGTATTTCTGAATTTGACAGTAGGCTCTGTTCCTTTTCTTTTAAGCTTCTGAAATGTATAAATAATAAGTACTATGTCTACTTCGCTGTTTTCTTCAAGGAGCATGAGGAAGAGCTGCTTATACAGTCACTATGGAAAGCATATACTCTTCCTCCAAAAATACAGTGCTCTCAGACAGGAATTATCCAGGCCAAAGGCTCTGACAGCAGCAAGTGTTGAATCTCTTTCTCTTCCCATCTTCCATTCCTCTTCCTGCTGCCTGTGTCCTGTCTTGTCCAGTGTCCATCCCACCCACCCCCAAGTCTGTAATCCATCCAGGAAATGTCCCTAATTTCTGTATTAACCTCTATATTATTGAGTATTTAATTCCACTTTGTTACTAAAGATACTGTTGTGTCATTTCATTACCCTAAGCTCAGGTTGAACTGACGTCTGGAGGGGTAAGGTGCATTAGCCTCAGCAAGTGTAAGTGGTGTTGCTTCACAGAACCCAGGAGAATTATTTTGGCTCTTTTCTGTATGCCAAGGACTTAAATTTTGCTTGAAATTTGCTACAAGAAGGATTTAAATTGGAATAGCATTAATTTACCCCTCCTTCTGAGATCAGTGATTAGAATGGCAAGTCTGAATGTAGCCTTGAAGGCAAAGAGAAATACAAACTTCCTGTAGAAGTTTCCATCTTCTCGATCACTGCGTGTTTGCTTTTGTGTTGGTGTAACTATTGTGCTTGGCTCTGATGGGGCTTATATGATGCTTATAGAACTTTTAACAGAAATGTGGGGGTGGATAATGCCTGCTCTTTATTATTTCTTGTCACTTTGTGGCTTTGAAAGGCTTGTTATCTGTTATCACAAAGAGGAAATGGCTACTGCTATGCTCGGTGCTGCAGAAATGCAGAATGCAGCCCTTTTCCTGTGTAACTACTGAAAACCGTTATTATAAGGAGGAATATAAATCTAGATACTGTTTGAACCTGAGATTACTTTAATATGAGAAAGAAAATGATAAAAATAAATTATTTTAATATGGTGTAAAAGCCAGTAGAGTTAGTTATGAGCTTATATTTATTCATTTAAAATCCCCTCCAAACATGCCACAGATCCTACCAGAAATCCATGCCTAAGTACTAAGGACAGAATAAATCTCCCTAAAATGCATACGTGGAGAGAAGGTTGGCTTGGTTGTAAGAGTAAAACTGGTGACAGCAGAGCTTGTGTCCCTGATTTCAGCTGGAAGATGGCACTCAAACTTTCTAGGAAATACCCGCCTACATCTTTGCTTATTGCCTGTCTTGAAGATCATCCTGAATGATGTGACCATATCTGGGCCTAAAAAACTAAGTGATCCTGAAATGCTGGCCGATGTTTGTGCGTGAGAGATTCCCAAGAGTCCTTTAATGATTTCCTGAACTTAAACCATAAATTGTCACTGAGTCAGATTCTCTTGTGTTAATGATTGTATTTTAAGCTGCTGCTGTGTGATTTAACTGTCATACCTTCTTTAAAGCCCACTGTGTCCTTCTGGAGAAGAGCATGATGGAATAAGAACCCTCCATAGCTGTGTTTAGTGACAGTAAAGTGTATGGAAAGAGTAGCTAATGGACACTTAAATCAGGCATTTGTATTAAGTAAGGGAATTGGAACTGAAGGATGTTGTCATTGTCTTAAATTGTCACCACTCACAAAGTTAACCCTATGAGAATCTGTTATATTTGTTGGAGAGTTTGTTCACTTGGCAATGTTAGTCTGTTGATTCACTGCGATACTGTGAAGTTACGTATTTAATCAGCTTTGATTGTAGCGGAGCGTTGATTTCTCAAGGTTTGCTTGCTTTTGTGTTATTTGATTGACATTATTCATTTTATTATTTTAATTAAAAAAAAAAAAAGCGCATCTTTTCACTAATTGGTACCCGGACCTATTCTCTTTACAGTTACAGAATATGTATATCTTGAGGTACAAAATTTGTAAGCAATTTGTGTTCTTTTCAAAATGAGTTCTGAATTGCTTCACAGCATGATTAGTAAAAATAATGTTCACTGTGGAAAAAAGCCTTATGTTTTAATTCTGTATAGAACTCCTGGGTTTTGATGTTTTGTTTTGTTTTTAAATTCTAGATAGAAGAAAGTAAAGATGACAGCCCATTTGTCATTTGTAGAAGCCAATGTATAAGATGTATAAAGATGAAGTAGGATTCTGCAAAAGCAAACCCAGCAAATTAGGTCTTAACCTGAGGTAAAGCAGGAGGGTCATCAAAGGTGCTTTTTGGTCATCATTGAGTTGTAGACCAGTGCATCCAAAATGCAGTCCTGCCATATGATCAGGACGAAGACAAAGATCTAGCACAGATTACAACCAGGACTACTAGAAATCGAAAGCATCTGGTGCTCAGCTGTGTCATGCCCATCCCTGGTGTACTTGTGTCCAAAGTGGTGAAAGAGCAGTTCCAGACCACCTAGGGGGTACGTCCTTCTTCACAGATTTGATGAGGACCAGGCTTTCCCACCATCTCCTTTACAGAGCTGAAAGCTGGAGCTGTCAAGATTTGGTTCTAGGAAAACTTGGTTGGTCCTCTGAAGTGCATTTTTGCAACCTCTGTTGCTAATAGAGCATACGGTGTAATCTGGTTATAGATCAGGTGCTGTGAATTGCTTGATCTGACTCTGTTATCTTCGGCGTGTGTTTTTCCTCATGGCTAGACTGTTGTTCATTTGTAACGGATGATTTAGGTGAAACTGAACTTTACTTTCTCTCCTGCTATCTGAATATGATTTGCATACCACTAAGACAAATCCTGGAACTTGCCTTATTTGAAATTTTTCTTTCATTATCACGGGTATGTATACGTGAAGTTGATAGTCCAAAGCAGCCTCAGCACATATCTTTAGGGTATGCATTTCTCCCATGTTGCCTGCCTTTTTTTTTTTCCCCAGTTAAACAACGTAGGATGAAAATATCAAGATTTCAATAGCTAAAATCTGTCACTGGTTTTATCTTTTGGTTTAATATAAACACACACAAGAGCTGAAAGCATCTTTTTTAAAATTTTTTTTCATTTTATGAGGAGGTAGGTTCCTAAAGCAGGAAATATATAGGATACATGAGGACACCAGAGAATATATTCTCTGATCTTGTGATCTATGTTTTTCCTAGCCCTGCAATCTTGTAATGAAAATTTAACTGTTGTATTGAATCTGATGGGTTTACTAACACTGAGACATCTGAGGCTATCTCACTCGCCTTAAAATAAATGGGCACCTGTTCAGATTCACTCAGCAAGTAGAACTTTGGTACTTGCTTTTGTTTTGTTTTGGTTTTTTTTTTGTATGGTTGAAGTATGGGATTTTTTCCTTTTCTAAGCCCCGTTTGAAGTCTCACAGTGGGTGTGCTAGGGGTGTTCCATTGCACCCTCAGTATTTTCCTGTGTTACTCAGATGCCCGTTGAGAATGTAGGCACAGCTCACGATGCTGGTTTAAAGCCTCCCTAGGCTTTTCTCAAAATAAAAAGGCTGTTCCCTGCCCTATTTCTGAGGAGAAACCCAAGACACACGTTCAGTCTTGTTTGCTCGTGAATCTGTATCCACAGGCTCCTCCGCGAAGGCTGAGTAGCTGGGATTACGCTCTGCTGACAGACCTGATGCTGAATGGACTTCAAAGAGCACGTTGCTTGCTCCGCAGGAGAAGTGATTGCTTTGGGGTTGGCCTGAGATAGGAGAGAAAGCGGAGGGAGAAGAGAAAACCAAAATACCCTGCTTTGCGCTCTGAATTGTGCGTGCTTTGTCAATGGCTGATGTTTGTGCCTGAGCTCTCAAGCCAGCACCTTTCACGGATGCGGTGTCGGCTTAAGGAAGTTTGGAAGCAGCTCCGGAGACTAAGGGGCAGAGAGTGTACATTTTCAGTAAATGTGTCTGGGACACTGAACTACTTTCTGCTAACAGCAAGGTTCTGCTTGCTTTAATGAGTTGCAGAGGCTGTGAACTGGCAGCTCCGATTATTCCCCTTACATTAACCACGACGCT